TTGGTCTCTGTTGCAGCAACAGCATATTTAGGCCCAACGTAGAGCCTGTTCTTCCAATCAATAATAAGAGCTTTGAGGTTAATTCTGTCGTGTGTCTCATCCCTAGATTCAATGTGCCAGATTTTTAAAACATCCTGAACACCTATTCGTTCTTTGAATTTCAATTTCTGCAGTGGATGCTCTGTACTTCTGGCTATATGACGTTTTCATTTTTAAACACACTTCCACCTACATACACTTATTTCTTCATCTACTACTATCAAACATTGGCCAATATTACCGAGTGGTTGATTCAGTAATGTAAAATAAGGCTGGTATTGTTTTTCAAGGCTAGAACTGCTGCAATGCAGCCCAGAATTTTGTGCTGGAGAATTATCTGATAAGTGCAAATTTCACTAGGCACTCCTTCTAAAGAAAACCTCACAGGGATGATGTGAACTGCCCAGGATATTTCCTTTAGAAATTGCAGCAAAGGAAAATAGGACATTATGCATCATGTATTAGAGACGAAGTCACTGAAAACAGGACTGTCTCAGCTGAACTAGGACAAGTGGCAATAACACACGTGCTAATCTTAGCCAGAGTTTGGGAGGAGAGAGAGATACACTGTTGGAAGAATCTGCTTTAGCAGCAGCTTTTGCAGCTTCTGTTTATGAGCCCCAAATAAAGCATTATATTATGCAGATCTTAACCCTTAACCATTGAACCTCCCATTCTGAAATTACATCACTACTGATATTTTTTCTTTGAAATAACAAAACAAAAAAATCCCTCATATTGAAAGCTACAGGCTCAACCTAATTCACTCTTTGCTTCCTTGGCTATTATCAGAATTTGTAATGGGTTAAAGATAGTTTACCTTTAACTCAGGATTTCCCACAAATACGAATTTACAGACGCACTTCTCTTCTCTGCACTTACTCTTTTTAAGGAGTGAAAAATCTGTTACGCCCCCAGAATCTCAGTTTAGCAGTAGCTTGCACAGTGTTATAATAACTTTGGGAGCCCTCCATGGCTAGGAGTTTAAGTAATTTTTATCTCTCTTTTCTAAAGATGTTAAAACCCACTTTCGTCTAGTTTTATTCCCTGCCTTTCTGATTTTCTTCCTTGACAGAATTCCAGTCTCTGGTGAAGGCATAAACAGCACTAGACCAAAGGCAACCTTGGACTGACTCTTCCAATTACCTCGTCCAACAAGCACTTCGCACTCAGCATGTGTTTGTACATTTTTATATTGTTTCAGGCATTAACAATTCCCCATACATCAAGGTCACACACCGGATTGCCGAGAAATCTTGCAATGTACAGATGTTTTGGTCACGTGGCATTGTTACATTTCCATTGTAAAGAAGGCACTTTGTGATTTTCAACCACTCATAATGTTGAAATTGTGGCTGGAAGAGGGGAGAAAAAAATTTTTTAAAAATAACAACTTGGGGGGAAAAAGCTGCTTTTCTAATTTTGTTTAGGTTTTCCATCCTCATGCTGACTCGCCAGACACAGTTTTGATGATCTTAAACAATATGTCAACTTTTAAGGCTTAATTGTACTGATTTCATTGAGTTTTATTTCTGCTTAATTCTCTGATCCTTGAGGAAAAGCAATGCCAACAAAATAGCTAAAAATAATTTATATTAAGTCCCAACCATGAGAATTTGAGAAAAAAATTTAAGAGGAGTCAACACATAGCTCAAAGCATGGAATAAGTTTGTGGGTAATTTTACAAAATGAAGTACTAGGCTATGGCATGTATCATCAGAAAGTGTTTATGGCCTAAAATGTAACTCTCCCTTAAGAAGATTTATCTTTCATGAAATCTAAGGCAGCTGTGAGATAGAGGAGAAGGGTCTAATCCCAACTCTGTCTCTGTCATAAGTCACAGTCCCCTGACAACATGGGCCACAGGCCTGGAGGTTTTTCTGTAAGTCATGAACATGTTCCTTATTACCTCTTAATATGTACAAAACAATAATACTTTGCCACATTTGTGAATTTCTGTGTTTCCTACAGATGAAACAACAGCTAGTCTTGCTGTTTGATTACCTTAAAGCTCTGTTACATTGCTAAATAATGGCAATTACTCAATTCTTTCATTTATTATATGAATAATGATCTATATAATCCATAATATTAGCAATTTTCTTAAGTCTGAAAATTACTAAGAACTAGTCTTTCCTTTGATAAGTGTCTTACAGGATTTAGAGCTACTTATAGCATTGTCTGCATTAATGGACAAAGTAAATAATGTTCATGGTTAAATGCAGAGCTCAATAGCCTGAGTAGATGATGTGCATTTCTGGCTGAGTGGGTTGGAAATTTCCCCACCAACATTTAGTTGTCTCCTTTCCCATATACCATGATGTGGTTCCAGCTCACAAGTAGACTGTCATTTTAATACTCCCTGCTGAAACTGGATGATAATTATAACCTAATTTGGCAGCTGTTTCGAAGAACATCAGAAACAAAGCCTTCTGGAACTTTTATGTAACGTTCAATGTTGGCATTTCCATGAATTGCGAGATGATTATGTGAGGCAAGTACAGCTCACTCATACCCAGGCATGTAAGAGAGCTGTTCAGCAGATTTAAGACAGCTAATGCAAAAGAGGAATTCTAGCAATCAGACTCACTGAAGCCCTGGCAGAATTATAATGAATATAAATCCTAATTCCATCCCCACCACCTCTGATGTTAAATCTGGGTTTAAATTATAGCTGCTGTTAATTGAAGCACTGAAATATTTTGCATAATGATGAGACTGTTGGTCCTTTTACCTTATTCATTTTCCTATCTGCTGAAGAAAAAACCCAGAGCAATCCAGACCTGCAGCAATATACAGATGTAATACATTAGCTCATCACACTGCTAATCACTAAAATATCATGTCACTAGTTCACAAGCAGATGGCACACACAATGCCATAAGTGACAGACCTGATACTGCATTCCTTGCACATCTGAAAGTCTCATGTGGAATGCAAGAAATGCAAGACTACATAGTGGCCTATCCTGTATTTCAGAAGTGCTGAACAACTGCACATCACTGCCTTCTGTTGCCACAAGGGGGAATTAATTGCCTCTGAGAATCAGGCAATTCTTGTCTATGTTGCAACTTTACATAAAACATAGAGAAATTTGTTTGTGAGAAAATCTGTTCTTCTTAAACAGTAACTCGTGGCAGGAAGATGAGTTTTAAATCTTATTAAAACCATCTGGCCATTTCATTAGAAGGAATTACAATAAAACTCCAAAAAGTCCCCAATTTCAAAAAAAGCTCATAGACTGTTCAGCAAAAACAGCGCCTAGTCCCTATTAAGCCCTCTGTTGGCACTAGGGTACACATTTGTAGGGCTAACCAAACTGGAACAGAATATTTTCCACGTAAAAGAAACAAATTCCAAAAATGTAAATTTTTCTTGGAAGGTTCATTTCAATGACTTTAAGTTCAGCCAGTGGCAGCCTTCAATTTTCCTAGGGAATAGCACAAGTGTTCTCTGAACTTGACAATGTCATTGTGCTAGAGAAAACCTTTAATTGCAGGATGTCTGTGTGGATGCCATCTGAAGTAGTAAAGAGACAAATGGTGATATCACAATGTTACCACAATTAAGGTGTAGGATCACGGAGTAATTCATGTTGGAAAGGATCTCTGGAGGTCTCTGGTCCAATCGCTTCCACAGAAGGCCAACTTAGGGCACACTACTCTAAGGTAAGTTTGAGTATCGTCAAGGATGGAGGTTCTATAACCTCTCTGGGCAATCTAATAAGTAAGGATTAAATCCTATGCATCAAGCTTTTGTGAATGAAATACACAAATAAAATACTGCTGAGTACACAGTTAAAAAACAAAATTCCGTTAGCAACTGTTTATCCTAAAAATCAGAAAGGATCTAACAACGCCCTGTATGAGCACACTGATAACCTGTTCTCAGGTTTAGAGTAAGACCGTCCTACTCACTCTAATACTGCTTCATAATTCCCAGGATAAAGGAAACGTTGTTTACATGTTTTACCTTTACTTAAGACAATTAAAGAGCAATCCAAAATGTCAGAGCCAGATCTGAGTTCCACTGAGCCCAAAGACTGAGTACTCAGACACACCTCAGTCCACCTCTTTACCCTGGATGGGCAGTTTAATCTCTAAGCCTCCCAATACTTCTTGTGAAACACAGACGTACTATGGTCTCTTTAAGTGGGAGCTAAACACAAAGAAATTGATTGTCTCACTCCTTAGCAAAAGGATATAGAGGGCCAGGGTGTTGAATCCAATAGCCCTAGTGCTCTAGCCGCTGAATCCATCATCTCTCTTAAACTGAAATTTTGGGTTGTCCTGATAAAGAAGCACGAATCAGACATAAGATAAAATCTCCTAGTATTTAGTGGAAGCTGGTTGCCTTCTACCTTCATGATCCTTTGGAAATCGCAACCTAGAGCCATTTGTAAACTTCAGATTCAATTTCAGCTCTCCAACTGTTCGAAATCTCATAGTCATCTTTTAACAAGTAAGAGAGCACAGAAAGGGCAAGGGCATGTCGGAACATTCATTGCACATATAGACTGGTAAAGTTTCTTCTTTGAGTTAGCAGCCAGCCCATGTGGAAAATCTTTGATGCAGCATCATCAGAGGCGCCTGGAGCTCTTCACACAAACAGTGTGGGCAGAGGGGGCCAAGGTTGGATTCATTTCCTGGAATGGGTTACTCAAACAGATATATCTTGATTAAATCCCTGAACAGATACATACCTAACATTTTTCACGCTTAATTGTTCACATATTTTAAAACATTTTAATAAGTGGATGCTGTGGAATATGAACAAATTTAAAGTGTTTGCATTTTATGAAACTTAATTTCCATATTACTTTTGCTTGCAAGCACAGAAAGATACTATTGCATTGGTATGGACTTCCTTTCTGGTACACTTTCTGCAGCAAAGGCCTATAAAGCACACTATCTTAGCAGCTGGCATATGCCTGCTCCATAACTTTTGATTTGTTTATTAGCATGTCCTACACTGATGAAAACAAGAAAATCAGAGGTTTTGTACATCAAGCTCCAGAAAAGAAAATCAGATCGCCACGTCGGTTACAATATGAAAAGAAGGTACCCCTAGACAATGCCTTCCCCTGCAGTTACAAAGAAATTATTGACCCTAAGTTCAAAGGGGAACTTATGCCAAAGTAGAATATACAAATACTTGACTCAAAGGAAATCACATCAGTTTCATCACAACTAGATATTAACCAGCTGGTATTTCTTAGATACTAACTTTCTGCTCTAAATCCCAGGCTTCCAGAACAAACTGATACTATATTTGCAATGATCTCCCTAACAGACTGTAATATTTAGCCAGCATAAATATAAACACAGTAAAACCTGGTTTTGTTAGACAGACGAAATAGCCTGTTCTTCCTAATCATCACTGTAGGAAAGTCGTCTGGAATTATTTCTAAGTTTTCAATTTATTCTGTTTCTTTCTGTTCCAGTCTTTCGAGTGATTTGGTAGTCTAGACTTTTTTTCTTTTAAATATCTGTTCTTTCCTCTTCTCTTTCTTTGCTCACGAACGCCCTCCTGTTAACCTGTTCTCACCCTCAGTTGGTCTCCTCTCACCCCACGCAGTCCCTGGGAGAGACCACGGCCGGACTTGACTGTCTTTGGTGCCACCTACAGGCAAGCTCTGGTTTGACACAGAAATACTCAACTAAAAACTATCAATAAATGCTTTGTCATCTCAACGTGGTCTTCTCACAAGGATTATTTCTTGAATGTTCAGTAATTCCGACGCAATCATCGGATCCTCTCTGATCCCAGGCTATACTCTCAATTATTTCCTAGGAATCTGAAACAAAGGCAAAGCTCGATTCCCAAATGAAAAGAGTGGATCATTTAGTTTTATATATCCACCAACTCCGGATAAAATGCCTTTAAAAGTAACTTGCTTAGTTCATCTTATATAGTCCAGAAAACTTTGCTTTCACAATGTTGAATTTACCACACAGCATGGGTTTAGAATAATATATATATATATAGTCGGCACTTCTAAGCATTCTTCTCTTGAAGAGTGATCAGGAGAAACTAAGATGTGCCAGATGGGGTTTTGTCTGTATTTTCATGTATATAATTGTTGAAAGAAAAGACAGTGGCTTTATGTTATATTGACCAAGTGTTAGGCTTTATTTTAAATGTAATGGCATTACTCAAATATTATTTAAATCTACAGTGACACTCTGCACACATTTATGTATGTGTGGGTGTGAAATATTCTCCCAATGGCTTTTTACACCATTGGCCAATTTCAGCCATTCACAAGGTCATTAAATTCCAATAGATTTCATGAGATAGCCGAGCAAAGGATCCTATTAATAACCAGTAAGAGAAAAGCTGCAGCTTGAGCTTAGCTACTGTTTGAATCCTTACAGTCAATTTTTTTCAGTACAGAAAGAAAGAACCAAGTATCACAGATTTCACTGCTCAGGTTCACTCCTTACCATTAATTGATGCATACTCCTGGGTGCTGCTGAACAACTGAGAACTGACATTCTATAAATGGACACATTTATTATCATGATTTAAAATGAGCACCATGCAATGAATTAATACTGAGCAAATGTCTTCAATATTAGACTCTTATCGTCTAAAGTACACATTTCAGTAATTGGGTAACCAAAGCTTATAGGTCAGCCTATTAAAAATACTTTGGGCTGATTTAATATGAAAAGTTTTATCTGTGAGATTCTACTTGTATGTCAGATATATCTGTTAGAAACATATCAGTATTAGTATTATCTGAAAACTATTAGGGCAATTGCAGGAGTAATGTTTCATGGATAATTCCTATCAGGATCAGGCCCTTAAAGGTCAAAGTCTACCATGAAGATGTCCATTTGTTGCTACCATTAAGCAATAAAAAACCCTGCATTTTTTCATTCGCAGTTCAAAAATCATTTATTAGACTAAAAATAGGTGCAAGCTGAGAGGATTTACTTTGTATGGCACTAAACCTTACATATTGTCTAAAACACCATGCACATTCCTTTGGGATATAAATAACAATCTGATTAGCTAGCAAGTCTTGTCAGCCACGGTAACTTATCCCCTGGGGTATCTGAGCCATCACGTGGCTCTAGGGCTTCTGTAAAAGGTCGAGAGGACTTAACTAAGGTCTATATAAGTCATTATCCCTGTCATTTGAAAAATAATTAAGTCAAGAGGACTCTGACAATCTTTTACCTTACAGTTTTTTCTGCTCTTGGCTTGGGGAAAACTAAGTGGCAAGGTGAGTTCAAACTTCCCTCTGGAGCTTTTGAAGATGTCACATTAATCCACACAAAAAATGCGTGGAAATAACCAAAGATCCCCAAATGCCATGCAGTTCTATAAATACATTCAGTTTTGTCCTCAGCTTGTGCACCTGGAGACTTCACTAGAGACAACAGCAAGCCAGATGCACTACATGTGTCTGAACTAAAGGACGGAAGAGTCGGCTCCTGCAGGGCAGCTGCCCTGGTTTGCCCTGGGACCTAGGTTGTAACTGCCCCACTCATCAAACCTGGCTGTCCTCATGGGGCAGTGTCAAAGGCTGATAGAGCAAGATCAATATGAACTCTACTCAATGTTATTTTTCATTTTACATTAGCTTTGACGTGGCCCTTTCTGGTATCCTGACAGAAGCTGAAATTGCTGCTGGCCTACAGAGCTGTCAAGGTAACATTTATGTTTTAAATTCAGTTTATTTATCAAATTTCTTTGTCCTCACTACCCCAACGAACACAATTCCAATGGAAACAGAAAAGGCTGAAAGGATGAACTAGACAGTATAATGTTGATGTCCTCTCCAGGGTACATGGTAAGACGTTCTTGCTATGTTTGTTTGCTAATTACAGCTTTAATTGTTTTATCAAAAAGAGAAAAAGGAGGCAATCAAACAGATGCAAGTTTTAATCTTTGTCAGCCAAGGTACAGGCACCCATCATCACTTGTGCATTGTAGCAATTTTAAGTATGAAAAAATCCAGAGGCTATAATCCTGTTTTTTTTCAGAGAATAATAATACAACTCCTGCTGATTTCAATACAAGTTCTGTGAATTTATGTTTGAGTGAAGTATCTGTTTACAAATGTATGTTCTTGCATGATGAAGACCACAGTCAATATTTATCTTCCTAGGATTGAGAGATCACTGATGGAAAAATCCCATTAAACTGAAATAAACTCAGGAAAATCAAAGATTGTTGATTGGGGTTTGCAACAACCCTCGCTGTACTGCAGGAGTTTGCTGCTTTTTGACCAAAAACTCCTTTTTTTTTTTTGTTCCAGATCTTTTAACTACTTTTCTTTGTCTCTTCCTGCTTGTTTCAGCTGCTGATTCATTCGATTACAAAACCTTTTTTGTCCAAGTGTGTCTCAACTCCAAGTCCAAAGACCAGCTCACCAAAGTATTCAGAATTCTTGACCAGGACAGGAGTGGCTTTATTGAGGAAGATGAACTGAAGTAAGTAAATAAAAAAAAGAGTTACCAACAGGTTTGTGTTTTATTGTCTCAAAATGCAGGATAAGATCAGAAATACTCCCTTTCCTTCTGTCTCTTTGGATGAGAGACAATCTCTGTGTGTATGTGTGTGTGTGCATGCATGTGCGTGTGCTTGTGCTTGTGCTTGTGCTGAAGGAGCTGCAAGACAAATAACAAAGGAAAGACTGGATCACAATGAGAAAACACTCTGATAGCACTGAAAATACTTGTTTCATGTAGGGATAACTGACAGACTGTGAAGATAAAAATAGCAGTTCTGCTAGAGTTTGCTTTTTATCATTGCAAGATTTTTTACTAGAGTAAATTCAAAGGGCTATTTTTCTCTTATCTTTCTACCACATGAATTCTGTCTTCTGGATCATATCCATCTGACTTTGAAGTTAAAAAGTAAGGTTAGAAAAATTCTTGCCACTCTTAAGAGTCTACACCTTAGCAGAAAAGAAGGAAGATAACACAGGAGGGAAGATGAATCCTGCCACTGTGGAGTCAGTTTCAATTGTGCCTTTTTAATCCAACGAAACCAAGATGTCATCAAGGATTTTTACATGTTGTGATGCAACATCCTCTTACCTTCTTACCCTTACTCTCACTGAAGTTAGAGGAAGTTATGCCATTGAATTCAAAATTATTTACCAAGAGCTTTTGAAATAGTCTCAAGAATTGAATCAGGCTTGTAATTTTACAGCTATTACCAATACCAAATTCTAAATGCTTTCGGTACTGAGTATGTCTCACACATTTGTCCTCTCACCTTTAACAGACTTTTCCTGTAGAATTTCTCAGCCAGTGCCAGAGCTTTGACTGATGCCAAGACCAAGGCTTTCCTGGCAGCAGGTGATAGTGATGGAGATGGTAAAATTGGAGTGGATGGTACGACTGCCTAAACGGAGTAATATCTGCCTCTGAGACTTCCTAATGGCTAGCTCTGGGCAGCTGCCCTGCTCCATACATTGCATGTTATGGATCTGATTCTGAGGTGCTCAGATCTGCTCTGTATCGTAGAGAGGATCTAACATCAGAGCCAGCCTATATTCTGTCCTTGACTACCAGTGGTCAGTCCCTTTTTTCATCTACACAGACTTTTTCAGGACTGGAACCTAAATGAATGTATTTATAAAATTTCAGTTCATAATTTCACTGCTTTTCACTATAGAACTATGGTACGATGTGACACTTAAATGCAACACTTCCTTTGTCTTAAGTATCTATTATTATGAGTATACAATGTGCTACCTTTAAGGAATGATTATCAAAGGCAGTATCGTTAGTTTCCCACTGTAACTCTAAAAATAAATAAAGTACTTTTTTGACTGTATGATTACATAATGTGGTCCCATTTTATTATTCTTTTATCTCTTTTTCAGAGTTTCAAGCTCTGGTCAAACCTTAACAAGCACTCAAGATAAAGACCAAGATACCTGTCCCATAAACAATCTTTCCTATTGTAAGCCTACTATTTATTTACACATTTTGTACCCTGGAAGGTCATGAACAATTGCTGGCAAGTGATTTCATATTGCTGGAAAACATCTGAAGGAGTGCAAGCACTACTAAAACCCACATTCCCCAATGTTTTAAGCAGAAGGTCTTTATACCACTGGGAGACTGAATTGGAATTCACTCTGTTCATCTGAATTTTGGGCACTAAAGATACTAGTAAAAATATTAAGAGAAGGAGAAATTAAAAGCGTCTCTGTGGGTCATTTAATTTTCTCTATTTGTATAAATAGCTAGCACCTGTTGTAAAAAACTAGAATTAATAAAATGTCCAGGTGTAAAACCTGGTTACGGTAACTGGTAGCAGTGGTATTTAATCAAGAAGTGTATTTAGTGCTCCATACGTTTTTATGTCATTCTTTACACAACTGATTATGTTTCATACACTAACCTAGCACTAATTAAGCTGTCAATTTTAATATAAGATTAACTAGACCCAATATCAATCTAGATTACTGAAATAGCAATACACTTAAAATTCTCCAAGGAATCACTCACCTTCCTGCCCACCCGATGGCACTATTGTTCCACTTACAAGAAGTTAAAACCGTATTCTATCTGCTTGAATTAATTCAAGTGAGCACGCTCCTGGTATCCCACCTGCCCACTTCTGTTGATGACCCAGTTTTGCCAGATTAAACCATCTCTGAACATAGAATGGTAACATTCTGTCTTCCAAAGGAGAGGACCCTATGCCTCAGATCTCAGGAGCAGGATGAAGGTGTCAGGAAAGGTCTGTAGTGCTCGTTTGCAGTTGGAGAATAAATACCTTTTGCTGCATATGCTTTGGACACCAAATGCTGTTTAGTGCCATCCACGTGACACTAAACATCCAACATACCGGCGGTACTTGGCAAGTTGCACACCACGGCACAGAGGTACAAAGGAGCAAAACATGGGTCTACCTGCACAGGGGCAGGAGTCAGGAGCCCAGAGCTCCCGACTCGGTCAGGATGAGACTTGAAGGTCTGCAGAGAGAGAGCCAGAACAGAGACTCGGTACCCTTTAATCGTATCAACACGATTTATGCTGAAATGAGTTCTTGCAAGATCAACGTAAGGAGTATAAATTGTTACCACAATTCTAAGTAATTTATTTTGCAGGGAAGTCTAATTACAGAAGATGTGTTTTTACAACCCTCACAAATGCAACTGAAGGCAAAGGGAGCTGTGTTTTGGATACAACTACGTGAAAAGCACTTTGAAAAATCAAGTTCCTGGTGCTCCATAATGGCAAATTGGGGCATGTTGCCCCAATAATCAATGTTCTGCTGCTTTTCTCCATCTCAAAACTGAGGACAACATAATGCCCACATCTCACAGGGTTGTAAAAAAAAAATGCATAAACGTTTGTGAGGGAAGTATAATAAAATGAAGAGCACCCTAAAAAAATTGCTGATAAATTAATCTTTCTTTACAGACAGATTAAAATAGCAAACTGGAAATAAGGAATGAGGAGAATACAAAATTCTGAACAGTTGCTCATTAACTCAAGTTCATCCAGCTTGTGCGCTGACTAGGTTAGGGTTCTGGCTGAAAAGTAAGAGTGTGATGATGTCATCACAATTTTGTCATAATACAAATACACATAGCAATCAAATTAGGTTACAAAAATGAACTAATTGCTAACAGTACCTAACTAGACACTACAGTGTATGGGGGTTTTTGGGCTTACATACGTGATAAAAACAAACAAAACATCCAAACAGCCTTTCAAAAAATCTAGATGGCTTTAACCATCCAGAACACATTTCCAACATAAGAGTTACTCCTATGGACTCATTTTGAAAATTTTGGAACTCTTGAAAAACTCTGTTCTTGAGCATTAATCTTGCAAGAACTTGTACGACAACTGTCTCATACTGTATTTGTTGAAGCTATTTAAAAGATGTTTCAGTATTTGCAGATGGAAAATCTTCATTTCAAAATTATCTGCTAATGCTATAGTGATTCTGATGGATAACATATTTATGATAAGATACTATGGAGAAGGAAGGAAATAGCAATACAATGTTGGGAAAATCATAATATTACGCAAAATTAAAGCAATCTACAGGACTTTAATGAATACGCAATAATGTGTTCACGCTTTATGTTAGCCAAAAATGTATTTCCATTAACTCTACTGAATTAATCAAGACCTAATATTGTAGAATTTTCTTAACAGTGAAAAAAGAATTATCCATCAAAAAAATTCACGTTTATGATTTCAATGTCATCTCAGGAGAGTAATAAACAAAGGAAATTCTGAGGAATTAATAACTGCAGTCTGACTGCAGGGCTAAAAGCTTTCATTATTGTCAGAAAATGCTAACTATCTCAGCTGATATTATGTTTTATATTTTCACCATGTAATGTGGATCACCTGAAGATCTTCAAGCATTGTACCAATATTAATGGCTAATGAGAGAGAAAGGCACAGACAGCTCAGATAACTTTTGAGTTAGCAGGCAGCTCCTTTGTTTAACCACACTTACTTCCACACTGATTAGCCTGTTAGGTCTACAAATCTAAGACAATTTCACCACTTACCATTCCATTAAGAACAGTAAAAAATTAATGACAAGGTAAGTCTGATATCAGCTTCAGTGATCACTCCAGAAAGTTAAGAAGAGCTTGTGACTAGAGACATTTTTAGACCATTCCTTCTTTCATTATCACCACTATGCGGACTGGTGGAGAAAATACTGTTTTCTGTCTACAAGAATACAGGTTATTTATTTATTTATTTTCTTCCCTGTCTCTTACTCACATAGGCTGTCAGGTACGGTGAAAATTCTGAAACTGCTTATCATGTGCTTTAAGAAAGCTCTTCAAATTCTGTCTGTAAGGCAACAGCTGCAAAGACTGCTGCATGATCATAAACATACATTCCTACACAGCTCCCTTAAAGTGAAGAACACTCTTCTGGAATCATAAATTTGGAGGTCTGAGACCATGACCTGCATTCTGCAAACGTTTCTATCCAGAGTCCCTAAATATGTGGTTGCCTTTTGTCAATGGAATTTTGTCCCATGCTTTATGCATGTGTTTTAAGAGCTTGTCTGATTCTAGACACCTGCTTCTCCTTTATTTGGAACGCCATTTCTGTTAAACAAGTGACTTTTGATTATTAATAACTCACTTTGTTGTAAAGGCCCTTTTCAAGTATTATAGCTATATTCACACTAAGATTCTCTGGTGTCACCATTGAGACATCAACATTAATGATCAACCACACAGACTAACGAGTATTTTAGTTACTTCCAAACTCATTACAAAGGCAGAATCTGTTATCCAGGATCATGATACAATTGTTCTGGCCCTAACACAACCAGGGCTGAAAGATGGAGTTGTGTGGGTTCTAGAACAGCTGCTACAGCATCTCTTTACACTACTGTAGTTGGTCTCAGGTTAACACCTCTCCTCTGATCTCACCTGAGACAACTGCTGATGTTTCTTTTGCATCTGCTTGAAGTCATGTCTTTGGTTGACTGCCATTGCTAATTAACTCTATACCAAACAGAACACAAAGAGCGTAAGACTAGTCCACAACCTGTCAATGATTTACCAAAATACAACTTTCCTCTGCTTATTAGAGAAGTGAATGGTACTTGATTTGAAAACAGTTGTTTTATATGTTTAGATTCCTAGCAAGAACTTATCAATATGAATGTTCTGTATTACTCAGAACTACACCTTCAAGTTTAATTCCGGAAGTTTGAAACAAAAATAAAAGGCTTTAATATTCCTCTCTGTACTGTGCATAAAGACATCTCAGGGGAAAACAACAGAAGTAAAGTTATACAAGTAGATAAATCTTCAGATTAACAACCCAATAGCATTTTCAGATGTCCCTAGTAGAGAAAAAAATCAAAAACAAATAAAAAAACAACAATTTTTTTTTCTTGAATTTCATGGAAACAACTGCTAAATATTCCTGGAAACTGCGCAGTACTCAGATTCTGTCCTGGATTTTGCACTTTTGTTAACTGCCCATTGCCTAGCAGCTGTTGTTCTGGTTGAATTACTAGGTATTTTCTTTAAAGCATTACATTGCTTGCATAATCTCTTTTAGAAAATTTCTTTTATAAATCTCAGTTTTTGAACCCCTAAAGGGATTACAATCACCTAAGCTAACACATACGCTAGAAGTAAGGAAAACAGGCAAATAATTTAGCTGTAAAATAGATCATCGAATTAAAACATCCCTTTATATAATATACTCATCCCTGATTATTTCATTCTAATTGTAGCTGAGGGAAACCTGTACTTCAGATGAAGTGTCATTAATAAATAAATAAAACCCAGTAACCCTAGATTCCTACCTGTATCAATATACAGTGACATCAACTTGATTCTGAAATTCAGCTCTTTTAGGCTTTTGCAAACCATCTTTCAGCCAGGATTAGCATCACTTTTGTTGTCAGTGTTGAATTTCAAACATTAAAAGATCCTTTCGTAAGCAATAATACTGAATTTATTGTAGCGATTGGCTCACTTTTATTTGAGATTGTATTTTAATACAATACTAATTCTGACTACTTTACTACTGCTGAATACATGTAAAAACAGTTCAGCGCCCTGTGTGCCATGGCAGAGTGTATGAGGTAACCAGGTGCCATTCTTTCAGCATTTGGTGCTTATATTTTAATACAATGCCTGAATTCATTGCAGACATATTTTGAGCTTGAGTATTATATGCTCACCTTGATCTCATCATTTTCATTTACATCATTTCAATTTTCCCATTCTCATTAGTTTTTTGTAATTACTGTTGTATGGCAAGTCAAAAATTTAAACAAAGCAAGCAGTTCAATGAGCAGTGTGTAGGAGCAAGCAGAAATAGAGGAAGCCTACTATGAAGTAATATCTATGGCACCATCACAGAAGTCTGAAAAAAAAACCTTTTCTCTAGAAACAGTTTGGCAGTAAAAATGTCAAGAGGAATCAGTAAAAAAACCCCTTCTGTTAAAACTTGTATCAACTTGAGATGATCATAAGCAGAAAATTCACAACAGAGTGCAAAAAGGTACCTAAAAGGATGAAAACTATTTCAGGATGATTCTGTAGAAAGCACAGTATGCGCTTCATTCCTAATGCCACTGTCTGATAGGTCATAATACCATGCAAATCTCAGACAGAAAACAATAGGAATGTATAGTACTGAACGAAGAAGATAAACGGAAAGAACACCAAAAGACCTGAGATCAGATCTTCAACTGGTACAAATCGGCACTGTTCCATTCGTTTTAATCAGACAATACTAACTTACAACAGCCCACGGTTCTTAGGTGTAATAGGCAAGTGTTTCCTATTGAAAGAGACAAAAGAGAGCATTCTTTCACCACTAAACAGCTGATATTTGGGATTAAAGGCAAGTTTGATTATTTGTGATTTATGCCACCTTCTTTTGTGTACAAAAGAGATAGCAAAAAAAGGTAAAAGTATGATTTAATGGTGTCTGCTTTTTTGTGTTAATTATACCTTGTATTTCTCTATCCAAAATCAGACAAAAAGATGCTATGGAACAATTGCTATGCTTGATACTTTTCTCACGGTCATTAAACCGATCAGGAGTAAACCCACTGTAGTCCAGTAATTTACACCAAGGCTAAGATATACTACTACTCTACTCCACAGCACAATTTGTAACTTTTGCTACTATAAAAAAATATTATTGTTCATCATACAATGCTATTTCCATTCATTAAAAAATAAAATAGTGCTCATATATTAGGAGAACATTACTTTAGATACCATAATAGACTGTTACACAATAAACTCTAACCGAAATACACGTATTTTTTATTGGTCTTCATCCTAGAATTTTGTTCCCATAAACCCCCTTAAAGATGGAAATAGATTTTTGTCTGAGAAGTAAAACCTCATATCTGCTGCTCCCAATTTTCTGAAGTTTTTATTCCAAAATTAATGCTTTTGAAATATATAATAACCCCCCCACTTATTTATACCTACGATTTTAATTTCATATCAAGGAAACAGGTTGTGAGAGTGTGTGTTGTAAAACGTATATAAATCTATCTCCACACTAAGAAAGTCTGATTCCTACAACTTCCAGTAAGTCTATTGTTGATTTAATGTAATTTAAAATATTCAAAATAGATCCTTAAGTAGGCCATCTGATTATACATAATCTTCCATGGAATATAGACAAGAGTAGCTTATTCAGCTTTACCTACTTTCAGAGTTTTGCCATCACTGAAGGCATTGGTTTCTGTTCCACCCCTGATTAAGTACAGCTTTACCTACTTTCAGAGTTTTGCCATTACTGAAGGCATCGGTTTCTGTTCCACCCATGATTAAGGGCAGCACTGTAATTTAGAAAATGGTCAGGAAATATGAAATAAATCTTACTGTAGAAAAATCACCCCAAATTATAGCATGCTTTCCTCTATGCTAGTGACAAGTTATCTTTGTCAGAATGACACATTGTCACCTCTGATCTTTCATCTCCAGCTTCCTTTGTACATTCCAAAGGATCAACAGACTTAGGGAAAACAAACTAGTTTCTTTTCCTAAGGATTTGTCTGCTGGAGTCATCCTCCGATGAGCAAATTTAAGGTCCACAGGTTAACTGAAAACCTCTAGCATACCTGGAGATCGAAAGGCTACATTTTGATGGCAGAGTTGTACTTAATTAAGCAAAAGTGGATTTATGAAAAAAAAAAACTGTTCTTGTCTATATTATCTTCGAAAGGCTACATTTTGATGGCAGAGTTGTACTTAATTAAGCAAAAGTGGATTTATGAAAAAAAAAAATGTTCTTGTCCGTATTATCTTAGGATATAAATAGAAAGAAAAGTTTAATTAGTTAAGGAAGAAATTTGAGCTAGGTCTCAAATCAAACATTTGATCCATGAAACAGTAACCTAAGTAGTGGTTATTGTCACCTTTTGAATCCTTTATAAGCCGGAGTGGCAAGCCAGAGCCAACATTACTATTTTGCCTGGTATCTCCTCAGCTATTTTTCCTTTACCTAGCTGAGAAAACTATAAAGGTGAGCAGCTGACTTGAGATTAACTAAATGAAATTACTGTGCAGAGCTGCACCAGTAGTAAGTACAATAACCATTGTTCTAAGATTTTTATTTTAATTGCTGGAATTACATACGGATGGAGCTTATATAGATAAGTATCAGTTTTCTTTTTAATCTTCAGAGCGTTGTTGGGGGAGAAAACAGAAGTAAACCTTCTTGACTTTCTTTTTTTCCCACTGCATATACTGTTATTTGTATTGCCAGATGCCATGCATTCCAGTAAGACTAATTACCAGATTAACGGTTACATAGAGTTTAAAAATGTGCTCAACTTAAACAGGAGGCAGGTGAATGATAAAAAAATCAATCATCAACTCACATCATTTATGTAATCCATCTCATTAAAAAGTATTATTTCAGCACTGCTATTTTTAAGGAAGTAATGTACTAAATCTTCTAACTTGTTTAGGAATACCAGCGATGTCGGTTAGAATAATTAAGATTCTTCTATCCTTAGAAGTCTTGTTAGCCATACAGTATTCTTTAGAACACAGAAAAAAAAATTTGTTGTAAGACGCATTTGCATTTCACAAATCTGTTTGCAATATACTATTTTGCACAGGTTTAAAATGAGCCTTACAGACATTCTAAGCCCTTCTGATATTGCTGCTGCTCTGCGGGACTGCCAAGGTGAGAAAACAATTAAAACTCTAAAAATCTATTATTTTGTGTAACACATGGCAAGTTTAATTCAATCCCAAAGGAATACTGAACAAGCGCATTCTGTAAACAGATTTCTGTAACCTCTTTACTTAGCTGTCACAGTACATTTGTTCATGACTGGTTTATATTGTCAGTTTGTAACTTATCCACATTTTTTTTATGTTTAGGAGGGTTTGGTGCAGTATGGCAAAATTCACTCTTTGACAGGTTTTATCTATCATTCACATTTAGAACAATTAAAATGTAACAAAGCAGCATCCTCAGACCATTTAGGAATAGTGAATGCAGTGGTCTGGGGTTAATTTATTTATTAATTTATTTTCAGCTCCAGATACCTTTAGTCCCAAAAAATTCTTTCAGATCAGTGGGATGTCTAAAAAGAGCAGCAGCCAGCTCAAGGAGATCTTCCGGATTCTTGACAATGATCAAAGTGGCTTTATTGAGGAAGATGAGCTCAAGTAAGGATTTTGTTAACTACTTAGAGGCTATCCAAAGATCAGCACTTTTTTCTTTCCAGAACTGTTCTGTAAATGTGAGCACAAGTTATGTTAAACGTTGATAAAACCTTCAGCAGATTGTGAAAGGTGTATTTAAGTAGATAATCCCTACAGAGAAAAACAAATTAGTAAATACTTGCCTTTAATGCTCAGTATAGAAAAAAATAACTCCCTGGGGCTGGATTTTGGTAGCGGGCAGAATCAATTGTATCAGGGCTGGACTTACAAAGCAGAAATGTATATGACTAAGATCTAGCTTGTCAAACAAAGCGGTGTTTGAAGGACCTGGCTATCGTGATGAAGAATTTATTTAAAGATAGCTATCAGTTTGATTATACAGCCAGCATAAAAGAATAATACTCCGTGAAAATCATAATCAAAGTTGTTTTCTTCCTAGGTATTTCCTTCAGAGGTTTGAGTGTGGAGCCAGAGTGTTAACCACCACAGAAACCAAGACCTTCTTGGCAGCTGCAGATCATGATGGGGATGGTAAAATTGGGGCTGAAGGTATTAACTTAATTATATACAGAGTAAGTCTCCTCAGGATGTGTTGTAATGATGCATGATTCTCTTTTATGTTGATGGTACATTAATGTACTTCCAGCAACTTGACTGAAACCCTTGCAGTAGCAACCTGTTTAAGGGCAGAAATGGCCCCTGATCTTACAGGTTCCTCTCTGCAACTCCTTTTGCATCAGCAAGTCAAAAAACCCCACCTAGGCTGCCCTAAGGAACTTTCTCACGGCCACTCCAGCTGTTTTGAAAGGAACTGCCCTTTATTTCTCCTCTCACTTACTTTGATGTAAGGCAGCACTAGCATCACCTGCAATATACAAATGTAAAACCATGGGCAAAAGAACCAGCCTTACATAGGAGAATCAACAGCACATACATCAGCTTATTTACAGCAGTCATCTCCCAACAGAAATTCCACTAGTCAGTGAAATCATTCACAATACACAAGAGCTAACAGCACGCAGTTCAGTATTTGTTTTGCATAATACGGAGAACAGAATGATCCCCGACACGAGATCCCACAACAGGCTCTGTGCATGGGGATGGATGCTATTTATCTTCGGTGGCAGGTTAAGGACCAGATAGGAAGGAGCAGCCGTTTCAGGAAGCAGCATATTGCACTCACCCCGTGGAAATGCTGGTTTGATTCAATGGCTGCTCAGTGCAGAAACCTCCTGATCGGATAATTCCGTATTTCCATGTCCCATTTTGAAGAGGAAGCACACACTCACACAAAAGGCTTGCAGTCAATGGCAACTCACCCCATGAGAGAATGAGCATGAAAGGGGCTTAGGGAATAGCACGCAGGGAATGTGCTGGTGTGCAGATTCCCAGCTCACTGCCCCAGGAGGACAGAACTCTTCTGTTTCTTTCTTTGGAAGGAATTAAATCCAGTTCCTTAGGAAATGTGCCAGAATAAACACACATGATTTATGAAGCAATCTATATACTAATACAGTCATTCAGGGATGGGACTGACATTTAAAAGATCTTCCAAATAACAGTATCTTACTGTACAACACAATACTTCAGTATCATACCACATGGAACTGCACAATGTTTTTGGCTTAGGCTATGCTCTAAATCAACACTTCTCAACTGCTGAAGCATTACAAACAGCTAATAAGACACAAGGACTCACTTTTAATTCTTCTGCTTTTGCTCTTAACTACTTCTTACTCAAATTCTGTATTAGCCATTCCATCACTTTTTCCTAAGAGCAGTATTATGCAGAGAGAAGGTAAAACTACCCTAAACATTTTACTATTCCTTATAAACGTCAGCAAAACACTGCCTTTCCACCTGTTGTTTAGAAGAGGAAGTTTAGGTAATGTCTCTCTTCCATACACATTTCTTCTCTTCTGGTCATCTATCAGGTAATTGTTTTCTGTTCATTCCTATTCTAACTCTCTTGATAAGCCACTAATCTTTTACTCCTAATCCTTTCACTTAAATATTTCTACTGTAAATATTCTCTTATCTTTTGCAGAATTCCAGGAAATGGTTCAGTCTTAGAGGTTCAAAAGGACCAAACATGAGACAATTGGGATGAATCTGCACGAGACACTCCAAAACCTTGAAAATCAGGAGTCCCTTATTTGACAGTGTCTGTTATTTGTTCATTGCCTTAGCAACATAATGAAACACTTATTAATGATTTTTTTCATTGTGTGGACCATTTACCATGTTCTAAACTCTACTTTAGCAGAGACTTCCCTTAAAAATATCCAATAAAAATTAATCATATACTATAGCTTGTGTCTGTTATTCTGACTGCTGTACTGAAACGTGAATTCTTAAACTAGAAGTGTTAATGCCTCCAGGATCTTGATCTTATGAGACCTTCATATATGGAACATCTTTTGAAATCAGTGGGTGTTCTGTTTACAATAGGCCTTCTGGATTAAGCTTGAAGTTCTCAAGATCTTTGTCAAAGTCTAGGAGCTCAGAAACAGTTGTGAGGTAGGTGAGGATAAAATCTCTCACTGACTTCCAAGTGAAAAGCAATCATACGTTTGTGCTTAAGAAGTGGTTTCTGCATGAGATCATTGCAGTTTCAAACTACTCTTTTTACATTAGCCAATTCAGAGAACAAGAAAGTAAAACCCACGTGCTTTCCTGCAGACAGAATTAGAAGGAAAAGTCTATGCAGACTTGAGGTTTCAGATCAATGTAAGGCTTTAAAAAGCAGAGGCGAAGCAAAATATATCTTCTAGGTATTTTCCAGCTTTCTCAATAGGGAGGACTAAAAAGTGTGGAGGAAGAATTTCTAGAAATACATGTTGAGAGAGCTCTAGTGCTCTACCCAGTATTTCTGGGCTATGTCTGCTGTATTAAAAATGTCTTTCACAAAAACATCCATCTCTGGGGATGCTGAAGAAATGTCTTTTTATGAGGAAACAATTCAGTCATTAGAAAAGAGAGATGTTCAGATGCTCTGATGGAGTATTTATATGTCCACTTGCTTTCTCAACATTAACGAGTGTTATATACTGCAGTTCACACACTTGCAGCTTGTAGGAGTCACTAGAACACAACAGAATCCTTTGCTGAAAAATGAATGGTTTACTCACTGCAGTTTCAATGCATTTTCTTCCTTTGCTGCAAATGACTACATTCAAAATTAACTGCATTTTTTTCTCTTCAAAAGTCACTCTAAATACCGGTAATTGTGTAGAAAAAACACCAAAACCAGAGCTGAACTGTTTATGAGATAACCAGTTACTGCTGGGGAAGAGCCTAAAGAATCTGTATGCACTTGCGAGAAAGGCTATATACCTTTCAGAGCAACAACAGAGTCCATATGGCTAATGTTTCGATATGCTAGGCCCTTTTCTCTCTCCTAACCTGTATTTTGCAAACCTAACAAAACAGTAATTGAAAAATTCCTGTTGGCCTCAAACATGTTCATCGTTGAAGCAAAAGCAGTTAAATAAAGTAAAATTCTCCTTTACTCAGCGTGAAGAAAAGTTAATGGCGTGCCATTCTCCAAGACACCCTAGACAGCTGCACCAATACAAATTCCATAATGATTCACCCGCGAGTACTCACCTCTATGTCTGCTCTGCAGCCATCTACTCTTTTGAGAGCCAAGTACTGGAGAGCCAGCCAAAAAATATCTACTGCCCTTTAAAAAAAACATGTATATACTAATGCACAATTTTTAACAGTTGACGATTGAAAACAGAATTTTTGTCCCATTTCAAAATGTTTTCAAGCAGCGTAACTTGGTTCACAAGTTGTTTGTAAGCTGGTATACTCAGTACATGTGAGAATTTAATATGGTCATAACTTTTTTCCTTTTATTGTGCAAAAATAATACAAATTGATAAAAAATAAACATTTAATTTTAATAATATTTCTTAACATTAGAAATATGCTCACCTGGCATAAATCACTACCATATCAGTGACCTGGAGCTACCTAGATTTACACAAGCTGAGGATCTGGCCCATGAGGATCTGACCCATGGAGATTCTCATAGCATAAGATGGATGTCACAGGATATTCATAAGAAATAAAGTGTGTTCTTGGCAATGAAACCAGTCTGCTGACAGAAGGGTCTTGGAGTAGTTCACATGTAAGTAACAAACAAATCGTTCTCCATTTCACTGACAATTAAGTGCTCTGACCTTGACGAATCATATTACATCAGGCAGGCAAATGCATGTAAAATAAAGAATTTTCCAGTTGCTGTCGCTCTCTGAACTCTAGCTCTTCTCAATGTTTCAGCCTTTGCACCATGGACTTGGACAAAGAAACCCAGAGGCAAATTACAAATTCTATTATTCTCCACTAAGATGCAACACATTGCTGGAGCAGGTCACTGGACAGAGGTGGACAGAAGACTCATGCAGTGGCCCACAACAAATCTGTGAAATTAAAACTTTACTCATTTCCTAGAAAGATGAATCTATCACAGCTGCCTGCATCTGAAGTTCCTGTAAAACATCTGAACTACAAAATGTACTTAGGCCTAATCAAGAGGCAAGGAACAAAAAGACTAGGGAAGAACTTCTTGGCCTGAAACATATCCTTTTAACTAGTTTGTATGTAAAGGCTTTAGAAAAATCTTGCTCATCACTACTAATTCAAAATATGTCTCAATTGTTTGTTTATAGCTTATTATTGTATACAAGTTGTACTACACCATCAAACAGAAAAAATACAACCCATTTACTCTACTTGAGATATTCTGAGATCTCTCTAACATCCAAAGTATTGCAGTTAAAGGAATCTTTCCATGCATTTCCAACAGGAAAAAAGTACCTTAAAAGACCTTAATAGCACAGCAGCTACTCCAGCAAATTACTGTTCTCTGTGGGAGAACATCTTAAGTAAAGGAAAACTTGTTGACTTGTAGGATTTCTGAGGTGGAAGAAACTTTTAAAGTTAAAACAACTTACCACTTCCCTGGAATCCCTGAAATGCTAAACCATACTTTTGAATGCTCTTGCAAAACATGTGATAATGATAACTCAAACTGGATTTACTCACTGACAAAGATACTTGTCTGTTCCATGGCCTAAAACAAAACGCTATTGGTAAGCCTCCTTCTAGAGACACGGTATGTAGAATCCCCATTGTTTCAAGTAGGCACTTGTAATTGAGAAAGCTCCTGGGCAGGGCCTTATTGACTGACAAGGAATGAAAACCTAAAGATACATACCATATTTAGCCATCATTTAACATGTGGATACGGGTGCTCACTGAAGGGAATGAGCAGCCACTTTCTATAATCATATATTTAATGAATCAGATGGAAATAAGGACTGCATTGATCAACCACATTCCCTACAAAGATTTGACATGAGAGGCAGCATTCAGAAATCAGCTGCTACTGACAACCATGCTTACAGATTGCAACAAAAGTTGGAACTAGTTATCAGAATTACCACTCATACATTGTACACTAAAATTATTCACTATTCAAAACAACTATAAAAATACATTTTCAAAAAATACCAGAATACTTGTGATTCCATTAAAATACAGGTCGCCAGAGTTCCATTTCATGTTCACATTATTTGCTCCATAATACCTTGTGCCATGTTACCCTGTCTGTGAATAGTTAAAATTAAAATACAAAATAAACAGTGGCTTTATTCAATCTCTAAGCATAAAAATTACCATGCCTTAATTATGTCATGCTATGACATAATTCTTCATGTAATTCTCTCTCTCATTTCTTGCTGTGATAATTAACATATTACTATAATTAATCTTCAGAGCTGAAATCCTTTTAACTGTCTAGCCCATTCCTCATTCTCTCTTCCCAGTTTTACTTCACATATACTATAGATCCAGGCAGGTATCATTCCTGTTAAACATACTAAACAAATCAAAACATTTAAGCATCTCAAGTTTTGAATGAAAGTAGTTTTTTTATTGCTATTCAGCAACTTTGTATCCTTAATCATAACCAAAGCTAGTGTAAAGTTACTACTACCTTTTTTTATGAAATATCTGATCTTGCAAAGCAAATATATCCATTATTAAACCATCTCTACTCACCACGACACTCAGATAGTTGCTCACATTCCTTGACATGACACTAAGAAGAAATCCGGGGCTGATGAATGATACTCTTAGGAGGACCCCTGCATCTAGCTGCAGTGTTGTATTTTCACATAGAGCTACAAAGGCCTGTTACAGTATTAACAAAGCGTGCAGACCAGGGATACACAGGCATTGTGATTTTGCTGGATCACAGCGCTCTTTTGTAATTTATTTGCTAAACTGATCCCAAACCGCTGAGTCTACACATTTGTTAACACATTTAGACCACATACTGTCAACGGAACAGCTATTTGAGCTGTCAGCTGTATTTATTTACAGCTGTCAGCTCTAACACCCAGAGTGATTTATAGTATACCTTTTTGTTAAGTCTGCTACTATGCAGCTGACGGAAATACTCAAAAGAGTACCTAGAAATAGGCTCAACAAACCAAAACATATGACTACACAATACTATTTCTTACTCTTATGTAAATTTTTTTAATAAATTGGAAAGCACTCATAAAGTCTTTCATTATTTGTCTCTTGATGCAGGGATTGTCCTGTCAAATTCCCAATGTACTTATGCAGCAGTTTAATTTTACATAATCATGGGCTAGGAATCACCTTTCAAACTCGGGGTGATCTGATGCCACTTTGCAAATGTCAAGGTGTGGTGTTACTGCACATACAATTAAGAAGATGGGATGAAATTGGAACCACAATTGAAGTTTCTTCCTGCCCTGTTAATTTGTACATTAGAAACGTAATAATTTAATTGAATCTGTTATCACTTACTCTTTGTAGATTCTCACAAACACTCCCACCAAAAGCAATGTCAAGTTACAGATGAGGTTGCACTGAGCAGAATTATATTTTAGCAATCACTACACCGACATTAATTCCATTCCTAGGGAAAGTTTGGCACAGAAACACCTTCCTTAGCAATCACCAATTACAGTAAGTATCCACTGTCAAACTGAAGATGCCTCCACAATATATTCCTTGCAAGAGTATTT